TGTATTTGACATTATCCGCTTGGGAAATATGCATGATACTGACTTCATGCTGACTGAGCATTGAATACATTTGGCTCCCGGTAATTGGACTCTTCACATATTAGTATAGGAGACAATTGAAAAAAAGCAATATCGTAAAACAAGTCAGGATCAAAGGATGGAAGTCTCCGGGGATGTGAGTCTTTGTAGATATGATTGTAATGACACTTTCCGCGTTTTAGTGTGGAGGTCATACACAGAGTGCAACGTAATATAACCAGTTAAGATCTGAAGGTGACAGTCTCCAGAGTACGAGGCTTTAGATAAATTACACCTTTATATCTGTACTGTCGGGATGAGTCCTAATATGAAAAACGTTATTATTGTACACTATTAAAACCACTTGTTCCATTTCCATTTCTATGATGTAGTTAGTCGGGTGTCGCACTGGATAACGCATTCGTTTTTTAAGATGGCCGGGGGTTGCTCCCCTACACCTGCTAGACCACGTGGGTTTTCCCTGGGTAATCAGGCTTTCCTCAAATATGGAGACTTTCTGCGAGCTAACATCTGACCCAAACAAGACATTGATATAAGTTATGTAACATATCATTATTGTTGTTAAATATCTATAAATAATTAAAGGCGCTTATTTAAGCATTGAATTGTTTTTGTATGGTATTTATGATCTATTTGAATGACACAGCTTTGCAAGCAAACAACATAATGCGCGCTAGCATTTCAATACTTATATTTACGTTTTCTCTGCCTCTTATCTTCTTCTTTAACTTATAATTTATATTTAAAATTAAAAATGCCCGCCTTATCGACAGTCCACACAATTTCGTTCAATAGTTTGAACAGCGTATTGTTGCGTGCTGATTGGCAAACAAAGTAGTACTTTGAAATTTTAACAAACACTTCAATTTTATTCCATAATTCAGAATCAATACAATTGCGTATGATATGTATATAGGGTGATTAAAGTTTATCAATAGAACTCTGAGCTGAAAGATAGATTTTAAATTGTTTCGATTTTCCCCCGGAACAAATTTCGCGCATGGACAAATACAGTGAACACCGTAAATCCGACCTTGCCCTCCACGAGGGAGTTATTTTTGAAAGTTTATTCGAAGTCTTCTCTTTGCTCATTTTGTGAAGAATCCAGACGTGAATGTATTTGTTGATTGTATGGGAACCTGACAACAGTCGGTAGATTCCATAACAGCCTCGTTATTTGACCTGTCGTCAGAATTACACTGAGGAACCGTAGATGCGAGACGCGTGAAACTGATAGCGTTTGAAGTGAGTGATCTTGCGACGGAGCACAGGTTCGTTACAAATGTCTAAAATGTTTATGTGTGCTTTGACTCATATCAGTAGGTCTGAAACATGTGTCAGTAGGTCTATGGAATATGTGTGTTTCAGACATTTGTAACGAACCCCTGTTGATCAGTGCAGTGTAACAGACGATATTTCTGATAAATTGCATGAGCGTTAAAATTGTTTCCATTGCCGGCATTGGTGATTTCAACCGATGTGCATTTTGTACGATGTAGCAGACCTTGGTCTTGTTTTCGTTGTAATAAAAGTGTTTTTTATCTTATTTTTTATTTTGCACATAAATTTACAATGACATTGTCAAATCTCACAATGCCCAGCGATATTTCAGCAGCCGTCATGTTTATTTATATTGGATATTGTAGTTCCGGTCAGTGTTGTATTAATACGCTAAGAATTGTGTCTCGTGATGCATGGTAATCAAAGTCCCATCAACGACACAGCTTTCAAAGAGGCTATATAGTGACAATGCCATGCAAATGTAAATAAATCAGTATGAATATCGATATCAGTAGATGAGTAATGACTTAATTTGTATCATATCATTTGCATTCAAAGATATCCCTCTCTTTGCTCAGTCTATAATTGCACTCTGTTTCAATACATCCGATTTGGTATCGACACAAATTCGCAGCGATATTTTAGGATAAGAAAGGATAGTTATAGAGAGCGGACTGGTACGAACGGAGCCCGGGAATGAAGGGTTATTTTAAGTTTTGGTGCTAGGAGGCAGTGGGAACCGACCGGTTACTCTCGGATTTATCGGCGATGACTTCTTGCTAAATAAAGCCTATTTGATTGGTATTTGAAACGATTGAAATCAAATAAGATAATATAATATTCCCGAAAAAAAGAATAATTCTAAGTTAGTCGAAATGAGTTAAACAAAATAAGATTTGAAACGTGTTAAAAGGTCGACGTGACAAGTGAGTATTGACAAATTGGACAATACCCACTTGTTGGGGCGACGTTTTAAAAAAAAATCATTTTTTAAATGTGTATCCCTGTCTAAATTTGAGCTAAGTATTCAGCACACAATTTATTTCAAAGCTGATGAGTCTGAAATGATAATGGCACAAGCAGGTATATTATGTTGAAATGTTTTGATATAGTCATGTTTGTTGAATAAAACAGCAATGCAAAACATCAATCAATAACGCAACACAGGAATGACATTGACGATGAAAGGCAACACCTGCGACTCCGTTACCAACACACTGCTATGTACTGAAACATCTGACTGTGTTCGTTTTACTCTTAGCGTACTTAATGAATCAGTTTCTTTAATTGAAGCGTTAGCGTATAGGTAGCTTAAAGGGTCAGCCCGAAGCGATAACACAATACGAAATGAAAAGGAAAAATGAATTAATCTTGTTACTGACTCCAAACTAAGCTTATTTCCTATCAAACTTGGACTATTATTTCGTTTCATAATTGTGATAAAACAATGAAGTTTGTCAGTCGAAATTCCAAAAAAGGAAAACGTAACTGTAATGGTTTTGAGTGATTACGTCGAATCTTTGTGTGTTTATCTAGAACACTTGACAAATGTAACAAATATTTGAAAAAAATAAAAATATATAATGAAAACAAAAAAGCAATATTTTATAATACTCTTCCCTATGAAAGAATCTTCCCTCAATAGATCTATAGAATCTTCAATCAAATGCACATGAAGGAACATTTAAAAGGTTTAATTAGGAATAAAGAAAAGTATCGCTCTGTGTAATGTCTAACAATTGATTATTTTACAAGCTACTGGCCCGTCGAGTGTCTGTCAATAAGAAGTTATAACGACACAGGTAACCGTTCGACATTCACGACGTTTATTTGCACAGTGTCAATAATACAAACTCTCACCGACAACATTCTGTCGTTATATTGATAATAGGATTTTGATAATGACCTTATTATCTTTTATTATATAAATAATGAACCTAAAATACATTCATTATATTATATCCTTAACAAGACTGACATATAATAGATGAAGGTATTGTCAAGTTTAATAATTAGAACTACGCATTATTCTCTTATATTGTACCATTCCATTTATTTCAGAACTTAGGTAGATCTTGGAAGTCCCTGTCCTTGTTACAAACACAATATTGAAATATTTAAGCATGAGACCATACAGATATGTACGTCTCTACTTGAAAAGCATTTCTTGTTATCTCTCAATGATATTCCGTATAACATATTTTGAATCAATCGTATATGAAAATCTTATTTTTTTGTGAGATTGCATTATATTTATAAATATTTTACTGAGACATACCAAAGAAACTTTAATGTCAGACGTCTTATATAAACATCTATAGGTGACTTCACAACTGTATGTACCTTTTGGAATAGAGATTTTATAAATATTTTTTCAAATTATAGGAAATACAACATTAATTCTAAAAACTCAAACTAAACCTTAAATTAACAACAAGTGATTGATGTGTTCAAATTGTATGCATTTACCATGTAAGGTCCCTTTATTTTCTAGCGCCTTGCTTGGCCACACCTCACTTTTGGCTTTAATGTTGAACATTCGCCCAGGTGAGGAAGGCAGTGGGCTCTGTCCCCGGGCCGGGAATACTTACGTCCTAAACTATGGTAGTTGTTATTCCCTGCTTAACATTCAGCATCAAGGTTAATGGCAACGACTGGTTCACCTGTTGTCAGTATAATGTGACCGGGCGGAATGTTGTGCTGGGTGCCTTTGACATGGTATTTAGGTAGATAGCACTATAAAGCCGGCATCAGATCCGCGTTATCACAAGAAGGCAAATATACCAACATACCCTGCCACCGGCACACATACACAAATGCACACATACAAAAATACACGGAGGCACGTCCTTAAATGACCTTAACTGTCAATAGGTCGTTAAGCTAAAACAAATCAAACCAAAGTGACTATTTATGCTAATATCATGATGAAACAAAAATGTTACAAGTATGGAGTGAGCCATCTTCATCAAAGTTAGGTTCCATTTTACATGTCCTTGGGCGTATCTTTAGAATATATGTAATACGTTGAAATAGTCTAATCGATTGCGAAAGTAGAATTATGTCTTTAATTTAGGAAATTGAACTTGTATCCAACGGTCCGAATACTAACATCGATTTAAGATTTAACTGTTTTCATTTTCTCTGAGTTTTGTTTCAATATATTTATATTTTGTAATTATCTCACCCCGAGAGAGAGGACAGATTCTATTTTTCCATAATCAGTTAAAGAGACCTTGTTACATGTATCTACATTGGAACCCTTAAGTATGTTTTTCTTGTAAGTATTTTCACATTTGATCTTTGTATAAATTTGGTACAAACTCACACAAATGAGACGATACCAGGTTGTCCTGACAAAGAGCTGTTTCTCCATTAGTTATATAATGTTATTTTCTGTGATAGAAAATAAATAGAGTAAAATACCAATACTTATAAATAAAATATGTTGAGATTAAATGACACTGTCCATAAATAATCGGATGTCTTGTCAGTGCTTGACATTCAAACAGTTACGTTTTATACCGTTTCAATTATTGATACTGCATTGGCCACATTTCAAATGAAATCAATATGGCTACAAAGAGTGACACTTGCGTAGAGACCCCGCGAGACTATCTGTTGATGATTATAAACGACCGGTTTGGTTTGCCGGCAGCCATTGTATGATTGTAGCATAGCATGCTCATCGGTGATTCTTCTACAACAAACTGTGAATGTGGAAGATTTGAAAACAGGAATATAATTATAACACAAAAAACACGCATTTCAAATCAAGATGAAGCCAGGACGTCATCTGCGGAAAGGAATCACAAAATTCGCTTGGTACATTTGAAAACATCGTTACGACGATTACTTTTGTTGAATTTGAAGCTTAACATTTATAAGAGGAAACCGTTAACATGGCGTTATCAAAAAGGGGAAAATAATGTAGCTGCAAAAAGTATACAAACGCTAAACTATACTCTGTTATATTGCCTCTGGATTTAACATTTGTTGAATTGTACCAGCTTGAATTTGGTGGTCTTAAAGACGATAATGAATCAGCATCAGTATCCCGGAGTTGTAGTTGGTTTCCTAACACGTAAGTATAGTTCTCTCGTTGCCATTTAAAGCTAGTTACTGTAACCGTATGCTATTAACTTTTAAGTGATTTTTTAAAATTGTTTTATTCTATTATTTTTTCTGTACATTCCAAGTTTCATGAGGCAAAATTCTTCAAAGTGACAAATCGATCTATTTCGCTCGTTGTGATTTGTCACTTGAAGGATTTATGTATTACCTTATTAAGAATTATGAGTGATTTGTGATTTCAAAATTTCCAGCACATCTTTTAAAATTATTTTTGTCCAAAGAGCTGGCAAGATGTTTTGATAAGAATTGAGAAACTGTAAATATATATTATTTAAAATATTTTTTTCAACTTCAAAAGGCCAAGAAAATAAAAAAAAAGGGTTGTTTATCGATTTAGAACCTGCAACAATCGTGTTTAAGATGCTTTAACCGAAACAGCTTGTCCCTATGTCTGCTGGTTTCATTGTCTTGATCAAATTTTTGTTGAATATAATGTGGACATGGGTATGGTTTTAAATAGAAATATACCATTGCAGAAGGTTATAAGACAGCAAGTCAAAAGTAAACATGAAAAAGAATCGAAAGTCACCGCCAATCAACATTCATATTGATCGCGTCACATGTTAAGCTATAAACTTAAAACCTGGCGTTGGAATTATGAAAACGTATTCACAATTGTAAAGGTAGCATCACCGTTGCTTAAAGGTGATAGGGTTAAATATTAATCCACAAGACCCGTTCCTCAGGAAAAGTATGGGAATGTCGTACAGCAATCAAAAGTGTGTCAAAAGATTCTACGATCGCTTTTTACCATATATTTCGGTAATGAGGCTGCCATTGACTTTGTGTCATAAATAAAGCATTTTCATGTCTTAGTTTCGAACGTTCAGGCAATAGTATTTAATATTCTCGTTGTTCAATGGTCGATATATGTAAATGTGAAAGTAAAACTCCAGGTCATGATCTCATTGCTAAATAGCCTTTGTAGGAATACAACATCAAATAATGCAAATTGATTCAGTAGTAGAACACATTTAGTCTCCATTGAAAAACAATAAACAATGTCTCTTCCTCAATAACCATTTAAAAATGGCAATTTTGGGCAAATCTTAAAATATGTGGAACTCTTATGATTGTGACTGTGCCCCAAAGGACTTTTCAGAATGTATAACTTCATTATTATTTCCAATGTTTAAAAGTAAAACCAAATGGGAAAATTAAACTGTCAATGCAGAAACCTCAAGAAGATGATACAAACCCTCAAAACATTGGAGGTACGGTAGTCTAGTGGTGGGACGCCGCGCTCGTGACCGATGGGTTCAGGGTTCGAGTCACATCACGGCACTGTGTTGTATCTTTGAACAAGATTCTTTACTCTGTTCTAGTCTACTCAGCTCTAAATGAGTGCATGGTTGGGCAGTGCTGGAATTGTAGAATGCTAGATGTAGGCGCATAAATGGCAACACCGCATGTATGCACCCCCAGGTAGTTGCGAAATATATTGGCTGGTAGCAAAGACTCTATAACAACGGATAATGATTTGTGAACCGCTTTCAGACAACCTACGAGCTAGATTGTGATAAAGCGGTATAAAGGAACCTCGAGTCATTACTAGTATTATAAGTTATGTTTTAATATTCGCTAAAGTAAAAATGTATAACATACTTAAAACCAACACAAGATTAAGCCTTTTCGTGAAATTGCGTGTATTAAATTCTTTCTTATCGTATTGCACAATTATTCATCGCTAATGTGTTTTTATGTCCATATGCATGATATTATATTTGCTGTTCATGTAACTCTCAAACATAAGCTGCAATATTTATATAATCAGCTGCTTTATACAATTAAGCTTCATTTTGTTTAATTAATGGAGTTTTGAAACATGTTTCAGAAAAAATCTCTTACTGCGAAAACAATCAACTAGTGCGCGCACAATCATAAGTAGACGTCGAAAATTGCAGCTGACAAAAACTGTATACTCAGGATATTTAGTTGTCATATTATTTGCATGTTGGCAAAATAATAACCTTTTTGATTTTTTCATTTGCAATAAACCTGATTGGCTTTTTTTTCTTAATTTGGCGCCTCAAATTGTAAACAATCACGTAGTTCACGGACCATGTCAGGACTGACCTGAACTTCTGAATGACATGTGTTATAATAGTGGCTGTCATGTCAGAGCAAGCTAACTTGTTTTGCTTTATTTAAAACATGACCAGGTATGCAATTATATGTGGTATCATGGACAGATCACGCTATGACAATTCCAAACCAGATATTTACATCATGGCATTTAAACTTACCGTTGTCATGCAATTAACAACCATCTATTTCATTTTATGCTCTGGGGAGCTATATGTTTTACGTGAAAAGAGCGATATTTACCTTACCGCAATCATATCTAAAGGCAAAGACAAAATATCAGTGTATATTGATGTGACCACAACATAGACGAAGTGCGTCATTTGAGATATTGGCTACCTCATTTTTATAACATACCTTTGTTAGAGATTACATATTTTTCCAATAAAAACACATTGTTGCAAAAGCAGAAAAGGCCACGTGATTTAGACCTTTTACAATGTTGAAGTAAATGAAACTCGAAGAAAAGACTGTCTCATGAAACATGTAAGCTACTTCATATTTATCAAATATATATTTGATACAAATATTTTGTAAATGATCAAAACCTGTTTCTCATAAAAAGTTGGAAAACATGAATAGGTGTCATTCGTTTTTCTTTAATTCGTGGATTATATTATTCATTGGGACTTTGACATCGCTATCATTTTTTCTCAATTTTCATTTATTCTGATCTATATCTACATTATTTCCTTTCACTTACTTTGGTCATATTTTGTAAGAAAAATCTGATAATGATATGAAAGAGTTTTTTTATTTATACAAACACCGTTGATTGAGGGTTCAGAGATGTTACTACCAAGAACGGGAAATTAGCTATTATGAAACTGAAATCGTAACGTTAATTGCAAAGCTTGAATTATAAGACAACTATGTTAAACATGATCTAAGTGAAGACTGGCACAGCGGCTGAAGCGGAAGTTGCTGATGTGTCTTTAATTTCAGGTTGTTGATGGAATGTGCGATCGAAGTACATTATGTAGTTAATAAATTGCTCGGTATTAAAAGATAGCACGTCGTGACATTACATAAATTGTAGACTTTTATGTATTAAAAAAATGAGTGTCCTTAAGGAATTTAGCATGTAGGATTTAGTTTGTCACCGCAATATCTAGCAAAAGTATCGAGATGGTGGAGATATTTATGAGCACTGAGCTCTTTCCCAACTTCAGTTATAACGAGCGTTTAATTTTTCCTCTATTCAATGTTCAATAAATTCTACCCTCCCGCAACCAACGCGTCAATTTTATAATTTTATAATTTTACTATCAAACGTTGGGGTAGGTGAAACTCGAGTGCAACACCTGGAATCTTATTTACGTTTCACATCTGAAAAGCTTGCTTCAAAACAGAATCTGACGTTCGTGAGAATCGAGTAGTGTATTGTATATGTAACAATGACTGTAACTACAAGACTCATTGTAAGGTAAAACTGATGGTAACTTTAATATCCGTTTTAAACTCTGTTTCGTGGTTGGCATAGAATGTATGTAAATCAAACCCATACAATATTCATGTCAGTAACTGACACAAATGTAGCCACGTGGTGTTTAGAGTATTTTATTGAACCGATTCAAATCGATCGTGAATTGTTTAACAAAAAGGATAGTGTGTTTGTGTAGCGATCTCCATTAGTCATAGTAATGACGATCTTTGATATATAATTCATTACATGTAAAACAAGAAACAGTATATATATATATTACAAACCTACTTATATATATATAACAAACCTACTTATATATATATTACAAACCTACTTGTATATATATTACAAACCTACTTGTATACATATTACAAATCAACTTGTATACATATTACAAACCAACTTGTATACATATTACAAACCAACTTGTATAAATATTACAAACCTACTTATATCATATTACAAACCTACTTGTATACGTATTACAAACCGACTTGTTACATATCACAAACCTACTTATATAGATATTACAAACCTACGTATATACATACTACAAACTTACTTCTATACATATTACAAACCTACTTATATACATACTGCAAACCTACCTGTATACATATTTCAAACCTACTTGATCAAATATTACAAACATACTTGAATAAATAATACAAACCTACTTGATTAAATATTACAAACCGACTTGTATAAATATTACAAACCTACTTATATCATATTACAAACCTACTTGTATACGTATTACAAACCGACTTGTTACATATCACAAACCTACTTATATAGATATTACAAACCTACGTATATACATACTACAAACTTACTTCTATACATATTACAAACCTACTTATATACATACTGCAAACCTACCTGTATACATATTTCAAACCTACTTGATCAAATATTACAAACATACTTGAATAAATAATACAAACCTACTTGATTAAATATTACAAACCGACTTGTATAAATATTACAAACCTACTTATATCATATTACAAACCTACTTGTATACGTATTACAAACCGACTTGTTACATATCACAAACCTACTTATATAGATATTACAAACCTACGTATATACATACTACAAACTTACTTCTATACATATTACAAACCTACTTATATACATACTGCAAACCTACCTGTATACATATTTCAAACCTACTTGATCAAATATTACAAACATACTTGAATAAATAATACAAACCTACTTGATTAAATATTACAAACCTACTTGATTAAATATTGCAAACCTACTTGTATAAATATTACAAATCGACTTGTATATATATTACAAATCTATTTGTGTCAATATTACAAACATACTTGTATCAATATTACAAACCGACTTGTATACATCACACACTTATTGCGAACAAGCCAAGAGGATATAGAAGGTTATTGCAATACAAAATTTCAATATCCTATTTTACTTCAACAATTTGAAATTTCTTGCAAAAAAACTTATTTTTCGATATTCAAAACTACAAGCATGCAGAGTTATCTGTATACATCTTCTACACCTTTATTTTTGCTAGATTTGCGCCTTATCAACAGGTTTTAAAAAATATTCCATTTTCCTATAAAAAAAATTGAAATTAATACCACAATTGTCAAAAAAAAAAATGATTTTGTTACAACAATTGTATGTTTGGATAATCAAAATTTAGATTTGGGGAGTTCTCTGTATACATCTTCACGCCTTCATTTTCGTTAGAACTGAGCCACATCTACAGGTAAAGAAAGCGTTCATCGACCAGTCTCTGACTAAAATTCTTATACATTCATAAATTATAACGGACAAAGGAAATGTTTTGAGGGTAAACATACTCTCTAATTATAATGTTTAACCTGTATTGACCTACGTTTGGTGTCACGACTTAATAGGCGAAAATGCCTTTGAAGATTACAAACTGTGTATTTACAGAAAGATATACTAGAAAACTATGTGTTTAATAGCGACAATTCAATAGCTATTAATTATTATTATCTATTGTGTCTGATAATAATTAGATATGTTGAAGCGTTATACATTGTAACATGTCGACAATGTTTATTGAACCAATTAAAACTGAGTCAGATCAAAGGGCGTATCAATGGTATCCAGCTGTTTATTACACATTTAAGAAATATCTAGGAATCTGATTGGTTAAAAAACTACAGTGTACCAAACCGCATTCGTAAATATCAGGGGGAATACGAAATTCGTAACACGGATTTTTGGCAGGGTGAACGGGATGGTATGACCCTACAGGATTTCGTATTTCCTTTGGCATATCGGCCTCAGGAAATACGAAACTCTTTAGAGTCATACCGCCCCGTATACCCTGCCAACAATCCGTGTAACGAATACTATCATCGTCTGTTGCCTTTGCCATTTAGGTACATTTCAACTATCGGCATACATTATGTATTTGTAAGACCAATCGTTCGGTTTCTCCTCCAATGTTGTCATGGCGCTTGCAGATGAAATTTCCTTCATAACAGAATCCAAGAAACACTCTATACTACGATACAATTTAACTTTCATGATGTCCTATTTGTTTTATTTTTTTAAATCCGCTTACTGATTACTGTCTACTTAATTTCACCAATACTTGTGTACCTAAAATGTTGCAAGTCATTAAACTTACATGATGGCATACATTATTACGGCTTTGGCAAACATTGTCAGTGCACTTCACCATCGATTATATATGCTGAACATTCAAATACAAAAGTAAGAACTCCCCCTGATTTTCCATGGAGTTAGTGGAAAATGAGAAGGGCATATGTAAATAGTTCATGATACCTAGTACTCGAAGATCGATAGTGAAATAATCATATCGTATAATACATGCATAAATATTTTGCTTTAAGAAACATACTCTCAGAATTTCAGGAAACGCTCTCCATCCGGAACAGCTTATTCAGTCCATCTCCATTATTCCTTTTTTTAATTTCTACAGTTCATCTGGTTGACTATTTTATATTTGTTTTCAAAAATTATAAATTGCGTTGACGCTATGGTATCTTTTTTCGTGTTTATATTTATTCAAAACCTAATTAAATTGACAGCAAGTTCTAAAACAAAATAGGCAAAAAAATATCAAAATGGCTATATGTATATTCTTGTCATACACTGTATGTTTCCGTTTGTCCACTTATCGCATCTATTCTATTTAAAAACGTATGTCTGCTACCAAGAACTGTTTCGCGATATTTCCAATTGCTATCGTGGTGATTTTTCTCATTATATCTGTATATAGTAAATATCTATTCTAGCTGACCAAATAACAACTTGCAAAATAAACAATTTGATCAGTCATTTACAAGAGGCAATCCCATACATCAGATAGCATGTCGATCAATCGATGTCAATTCGTCGGTAGAATTACTTTATAGATCATCTTTTTTAAATATTTCTTCATGCACAATACCATAACTCACTTTATGTTTCACATGTTTTTACCCCACGAGCTAAGACTGTAAGTTTTATTCATGAATACTTGAATCTGCAATTAAAAGATCTTTTATATATCCAAAAGTCATCGTTTACTCATTTTCTATTTTTTAATATTTCTTCATGCACAATACCGTAACTCACTTTATGTTTCACACGTTTTTACCCCACGAGCTAAGACTGTAAGTTTTATTCATGAATACTTGAATCTGCAATTAAAAGATCTTTTATATATCCAAAAGTCATCGCTTACTCATTTTCTTACACAATAATCCGGTATTCATTTATCAAATTTTCAAACCAACGTCATATACCAATATTCCTTATCTCTATGAAATCAATTCCATCTGTATATCTAACTTAAACAATAATGTCTTACGATAGCTCTAGCTGTGCACTTTATTTTGTTTACTTCATATCTTACGATAGCTCTAGCTGTTCATTTTATTTTGTTTACATCATATCTTACGATAGGTCTAACTGTTCACTTTATTTTGTTTACCTCATATCTTACGATAGCTCCAGCTGTTCACTTTATTTTGTTTACTTCATATCTTACGATAGCTCTAACTGTTCCCATTCTTTTGTTTATTTTATATCTTACGATAGCTCTAGCTGTTCACTTTATTTTGTTTATTTTATATCTGACGATAGCTCTAGCTGTTAACGTTCTTTTGTTTACCTCATATCTTACGATAGCTCTAGCTGATCTCTTTATTTTGTTTACCTTATATCTTACGATAGCTCTAGCTGTTCTCTTTATTTTGTTGACCTTATATCTTACGATAGCTCTACCTGTTCACTTTATTTTGTTTACCTTGTATCTAACGATAGCTCTAACTGTTCACTTTATTTTGTTTACTTCATATCTTACGATAGCCCTAACTGATCACTTTATTTTGTTTACTAACTGTTCACTTTATTTTGTTTTCTTCATATCTTACGATAGCTCTAACTGTTCACTTTATTTTGTTTACTTCATATCTTACGATAGCTCTAGCTGATCTCTTTATTTTGTTTACCTCATATCTTACGATAGCTCTAGCTAATCTCTTTATTTTGTTTACCTTATATCTTACGATAGCTCTAGCTGTTCTCTTTATTTTGTTGACCTTATATCTTACGATAGCTCTAGCTGTTCACTTTATTTTGTTTACCTTATATCTTACGATAGCTCTTACTGTTCACTTTATTTTGTTTACTTCATATCTTACGATCACTCTAGCTATTCACATATTTTTGTTTACCTCATATCTTACAATAACTATAGCTATTCACTTTATTTTGTTTACCTTATATCTTACGATAACTCTAGCTTTTCACTTTATTATGTTTACCTCATATCTTACGATAGCTCTAGCTGTTCACTTTATTTTGTTTACCTCATATCTTACGATAACTCTAGCTGGTCTCTTTATTATGTTTACCTTATATCTTACGATAGCTCTAGTTTTCACTTTATTTTATTTACCTCATATCTTACGATAACTCTAGCTTTTCACTTTATTATGTTTACCTCATATCTTACGATAGCTCTAACTGTTCACTTTATTTTGTTTACCTCATATCTTACGATAACTCTAGCTTTTCACTTTATTTTGTTTACCTCATATCTTACGATAGCTCTAGCTTTCACTTTATTTTGTTTACCTCATATCTTACGATACCTCTAGCTTTTCACTTTATTTTGTTTTCCTCATATCTTACGATACCTCTAGCTTTTCACTTTATTTTGTTTACCTCATACCTTACGATAGGTCTAACTGTTCCCTTTATTTGTTTACCTTATATCTGACGATAGCTCTAGCTGTTCTCTTTATTTTGTTTACCTCATAACTTGAATCAAACGGATGAATTGTCCCGTTATTAAAACAAATGATCAGACGTTGGTTTTGACATTAATCAATACCTAACGAAATAACGTACTGTTACCTTTACATCATATTCACGATAAGAATTACAGTAAATTATATTAGAAAGAATAAAAAAAATATGCTTTTCTGTTTTATTTGTGTTTTATTTAGGCTTGCAGGACGTCTTTTACGGCATCTTGTATTTGGAGAAAAACATTAAAATACTCATACATCTCACCAGGGAACAACCCAAAACAATCACATTTTCTTTATTCATTATCGACGAAACAATAGTCGCTGTCGCGAGATTTTTTTGTTTTACTTGTACTTTTAATTGACTTTGTTTCCATGCTGAGTTAATATTTTCCTTGTTAATAGTAATGGGGTGTGTTTCCCGAGGTCCAGCCACACAACTAACCACTATGGTTTTACATCAGGAGACAAAGTCATGGAATGAGGCTAGACAAGTGTGCAGCGCGGACGGTGGAAAGCTCTTATCAATACAAAATCCTTATAAGTTAGCGGATCTTCTGTATATGGATTCTCTACCGTCGTGGAACAGCAGAGTGTATGTATTTATTGTTGTGTAACGTGCCCGACGTAAATCACATTTCGGGGATAAAACCTCTTTACTCCATTATATTGCTTCAGTTTTAAGGGAGACTGCTGTGAAGCGTCCTGCACAATCTATAATGCCCCACTGAAGGAAATCGATATGTAGGCCTAGAATCAAAACTCAGAAGTTTTGTTTGTGATATCTGTTGAGCAAATTGAAGACGCAAAAACTAGCCACTTTCTTCTTTGTAAAATCTTTTTTTTTTCCAAATTTTATTTTCCGTTTAAATTGTTTCAGTATCTGAGATCCTGCTATCATCTTATGTTGGGTGTTAAATTTGTATTTTCTGCACAACATTGACGTCATCATACCTGAATGAGGTAGTTAAAAATGTTGCGGACGATAAAAAAATGGCTTAGTTAGTCGGAAAATGGCCATTCAAAGACCATAAAATTTGACAATGATGTCACAAAACAATGTATCTGACTAGAAACAATAATAATGGAAAACATTAATATGCCAGCAAAGTAGACCATCACAATTCCCTCGCGCGTGCTAACATTTCCTTCAGATAATCGAGGTTTGGGAATTGACTCAATGTAGGTTTTTTCTCATTTCTTTCTAATAAGAATGAAAAATTAATTAGATGACATTGATATGTAATTCTCGTAATCATCAGAGTTGATGATTTATTAAACAAAGTGAAACAAATGTCCATGTTTCTATCATTTTGATTTGATAAATGGCTAACATAGATAGCATCAGTTTGACATTTTCCGTTACAGAATGACTGCGGACTTATGGTTCGGATTACACACTGATGTAGGCGCCTCCTGTAACTTGGTACAGTATAAATGGGATGACGGAGAACCCCTAGGGAGTTGGTCGGATTGGTTTGCTGGATCTTACACGGAACCTAACAGTTGCGAGTCTGACCTATGTAGCCGCATCTCCGCATCCAAATGGAAGACAATTGGTTGTACCAATCAATATGGATTTGTTTGCGAATATCTCGGAGGTAGAGTATGTTCTATTTACATCAATTAATAATGAGTATTGTTAAGGTGTGTATTGCGATGGTGCTTCACTGTGAAACAAAATGTTATACTGTGTTTTACAAAGGAAACGTAACACTGCTTCATAATAACCAATGCAAATTATAAAATACTGAAACATAAAGAATGTTTGTCCATATTTTACATATCACCATGGCTTACATTTGTATCTCCCATTATCTCAAGCAAGCTTTATCTAAGGACAGGTTTTATAAACTATCGATATTCTTTACATACCACATGCCTATACATGTATCACCTGTCCTTAACAGTGACACCTGCTTTAGAGACCCCCCTTATTTAGCTAAATTGTACCACCTGTTTCCAACCACAGTTAAACATGAAAAAGAGACCATCTCGCTCCAGCCACAATGTTCCTAATGTCCCAAACTATATTCAAAACCTGCCTCACAGACCACCTATATAAACTATACTACCTAACTAGTCAAACCTGCCTTCTTACAGACCACCTGAATGTCGGTAAAAACATTATCACTGATCTCCAACAACAGTCAAACATGCCTTATAGACCACCTGAATGTCGGTAAAAACATTATCACTGACTCCAACAACAGTCAAACCTGCCTTATAGACCACCTGACTGTCGGTAAAAACATTATCACTGATCTCCAACAACAGTCAAACATGCCTTATAGACCAACTGACTATCGGTAAAAACATTATCACTGATCTCCAACAACAGTCAAACCTGCCTTATATACCACCTGACTGTCGGTAAAAACATTATCACTGATCTCCAACAACAGTCAAACCCGCCAAAGCGAACCCACGCCTCCATCTACAGTCAAACCTGCCTTAAAGACTACCTGACTAAGCCAAAAAGTACCCCACCTCAAACTTCAGTCAAACCTGCCTTTTAAAACCATATAGCGAACAAATACTTCCGCCTCAAACTACAGTCAATCCTGCCTTAAAGACTACCTGTCAATAAATTCAATAGGGACCTGCGCATGCGTCATAAACCATATTTCATAAGCAAAAATTCCACTTGTTTATAGCTACTGTCAAACATGTCTTAGAAAACATCTATCTTTAACTTCAGCCAAACCTGTTTTTTGAACTACATGTTTCTCAGCCCATGTGTTGAATATCAAATGATTACTGAAACTTTTCTTTTGCATTCTTACTCATATTGTCTTTGTGAATAGACTGCTTCGCTTATCTTAAAAACGAAACCCATAGTTTAACCAGATACCAATATCGTTGAAAGGTATCTTTGTATTGAACGATGATATGAAGAAAATCTTTAAGGATCCTTGTCTACTTCAGGCTAAATACCACAGCATTTTACCTTTTTTCTAAAATACACTAACCTCCCTATATCTTTGTTTTGGATATAACTGTCGGGCTTGGCAAGAGAACTTACCCTGATCCCGTAGTTCAGTTAGTTAAGGCGTCCTCATTGTGATAGGACGTTTTTGATTTTGATCCTTACCCTGTCCATATATATGATGCTCCACTTTTCAACGACATCATTACACTGCTAGTGATATCTAATGGTATAGGTATGTTCCTCCTGTGGTAAAATACCATATTTCCTTTTTTTATTACAGGAACATGTGGCTTTGAAACTGTGGCAGACAAAATGTTCACGAGAGGACCTGAAAGCAGCGATATCCTGGATGCTCAAAACGTTTTTGTAAAGATGGAGTCGACAGCTAATCTGGCAATGTGCCTGGAGGCGTGCCAAACCTCTTCCGTTGGTGACCTGGATTGCTGGTTTGTATTGACAAACACCAGTAACGCAGACATATGTTATCTGTATTACACCCATGACAAATACCTGGCAGACAAAGCTGAACACATAACGGAAACCACGGGAACGAGCATCCATGTCAAGCGATGTGGCAGCGGTGAGCATAGTAATAAAAATTGAATTTCAAGAAATTATCTCTATCTGCATTTTTTATTTCTTTAAAACCAACATTATGAACATACTATTTTAACATTGTTACTTTTTATATATATTATATACATATAGTGTACTTTTCCTTTTGGTTCTTTCTACAAAATGTGTTCTATTCTTTTTCCAAAGTCTACTTGCTTGATTGTTATGAAACTGCACGTACTTATTGCAGTGTATGTTTGAATATGCATCAACTATATTCAATCCGATTTTCAAGATGGCTTCCGTGGCCTACTTCTGATTTACTAATAGATGCATAGACTTAGATTGCTGTTTTTATAAGACAGGTTTGATGGAAACTTTGTAGAATTGTTCTTCGAAAGTGCGTGCGGGAACCAACCTGCAGAATTGGGAATTTGTTTTTGTGCCCTTCACTTGGGGATATCCAAGCGACCATAATACATCTGCTGTATCAATTGCAAAATTCGGGATTTCCCTCTAAAATGTAACTATCTTTGTTGCTTGGCAATACCTCACTTCTGCCTATTCCCAGCTTAACAGCGTCTAGAGAACAATGTAATGGCAACAACTGGCAACCCGTTTTAAGTAACTGAGTCCGGTTTACATGCTGTACTAGTTGTCACGACATGTTGTTTAAGTTATGTAACACTATAAAGTCGACATCAGTATCGCGCTATCACAAGAAGGCAAGTACACCCAGATACCCTACATCCATCATTCATGCATGTATACATACACGCCTAAATGCATTCACGCCTACATTACAAATATGGAGACACGTCCTAAATGACTTAGCTATGTATAACCAAGCCAAACCAGATACAGCAAAGGCTAATGTTTGAGCTATATTTGACCGACAGTGTTTATATATTGAGGAAAATGAAACGTCGGATCTGATTACTAACTTCAAAGTTTCATGATACAAAATAGACTCCACTGCATGTTTTTTTACGGTTAACACTGAAGTTATATTGGGTGGACAGTGTTAATGTTTAATCTTGTTGATAAACACTGGGTTTACTTAACATTGAACGATATATTCTTCAAATTTCATCCCACGTTTGTAAAGATTAAATGTGTATATATTCACTTTAAACTGTACATATCACTATATTACTCTTACGAAACTTGTCGTGAGTACTTTAGCCGAATCAGGTTATTATTATTGGAAAGGTTATGACTAAAAAGTAAACATTGCTTGTATGTATCGTACACGATATCAAACGAAATAAAACATTATAATCGTTAAATTATAGAAAAGAAATATAAGTTGACATAAACAGTATGCAACAAGTTTTTATATAGCTCAATCCAATTGTTCACAATCCACAGGAAATATTGATTAACTACAAAGATCGAATCTAAATATGGGTTTAAGTATTTAATAGTGAATCCTACCATTATGACAAATATAGCATGTGGTCACTAAAATAAACACTGGAAATACGAGGATAGGAAACAAATACAGTGTTTTTGAACATATCCAGATGTGGAAAGCCATATCAAATATCCCTGTTTCTCATGGGACTTTGGTCAGTTAGGACACATCAGTGGCACTAAGGTCAATAGTGTAGACTTATTCAATTCTGTCGTTGTCGTTGAACGACGTCATAATGCGACAAGTTTCTGTACCCTTCTATTAAAAGCATACATTGTAGAAGCTACCGATACGGTCCAAAAGATGGGAATAGGGACAATTTCTGACAACTTTTTAACGTTTGTATCCGCTACAATTTATAATCACAACCAAATATTTTTCACAAATACACTAACATTTCTTCAATTAAATTCATCAGTTTGCAAATATGTAATAGCAAAGTTTTACTTTATACACAAACAATGTACTATCAAATTGTTTTTGTTACGTACATGGTTTGTGTATATAGACGATACACGTATTGGTGACAAATTGACATCGGTAGACTTATACATTATATTACCGGTAACTGAGCAAGATCGGGTTATCTCAATCTCGGGCTAAGACCCTGTAACATCCCAACCTCGACCTACTTCTCGGTTGGGACCATAACTTTTTTCACGCACCTTCTAGTTTAAATTTGCTAAAGACTACAGGTATCCCACCTGGGGCCTCGAATGGAAATGGCCTCTACACTACTAAAGCTATACTTGAGAGCTGCTGTTGTCCGTCATTACAGGAAGGCATCATGTTTCACACTGTGAACTATATTTTTCTCTACAACATTAGATACCACACAACTTCAAAACAAAACATCTAACGACAAAATAGAATATTTGTTATGCAAATTGTCAATTCAAAGCCGTTAACGCGCGGATGATTTCATCGCATTGTAAAAATTCAGTGAAATGTCACGTAAGGGTCCTGGACAGATCGGACGAGATAGAAAATTCTAGCATAGGGTATGACCTCCGATTTTTCTGTCTGAGATGCTGGCAATACTTATTCCTTCGTATTAGAGTCAGGATAGGATTGTAGTTTGTTAAAGGCATGCGATTTGTCTCTGTTCGCAAATACCGTCATACGAGTTGTCTTCCTTTGTCTGCCTTGTCCCCTTGCTCATTAACTGTTTCCTTATATGATTCTTTTTAATTATCAACCGAATATTTAAACAAACAGGACATACACTGTCTTGTACAAACTTCAAACATGCTTTGTTCTGTTGCTGTTCCAGTTGCTGTTTATGGTGAAACAACAACTACAGCATCGACAACAACGACTGAGGCGGCATGTGTGGAGCTGACAACAACAACAGCGTCTGCTGCGACAACTACAGCAGCGCAAACAACTACAACAGTGATGACAACAACAACTGCACAGAAAACAACCACGACAACTACCGAACCAACAACCATTGCCGCTACTCAAACAACGGACGGTGTGGAATGTTTAAAATACAGTAATGAAACAATATCTTACACTGCCAGTGAACTTCAAGCACAACTGCTTCAACTCAAGGCGGATCTTACAGTATTAAAAACTAGTACAAATCGACACATGAGAACGCTCACGAGTGTGTACGATGGTCGGAGTAGCGCGGTCAATATCGGGGTGATAGGAAGCTTATTCCTCGTTGTGATTCCTGTGCTTTTCTTCATTGCTGACATGCCGATTTTGTACAAACACATAAGGGGTCGCTGGGATGACGACGATGACGACGATGATGTCGATGATGATGGAGTTGACAAAAACAAGATGGTGCTGTAAACACTGATCGGCTACCCCGATATCAACATCATAACACCAGGATTGCATTAACTGTATCATGAACACACGTGTAATACATGTAACATCTACCGGAGCTGTTGTTTTGATGTACATTAACATTGTTCAAATGTAAGACCACCGTTTGTACGACTTTATTGCATCTTACAGGAATTTTACATCTAGAAACGCCATATTAGACGTCACGTATTAGCACCACTTACAGTTTGAAAGTCACAATGTACAAAGACACTGTATATATACTATTTAATCGGTTTTCTATGGTATATGCTAATGCGCTTGTCACATTCCACATGTGTTATTTATAATATATGACTGATATTTGTCTTCATATCACTGAGATTTGTCTTCATATGACTGAGACTTGTCTTCATATCACTGAGATTTGTCTTCATATCACTGAGACTTGTCATCATATCACTGAGATTTGTCTTCATATCACTGAGATTTGTCATCATATCACTGAGATTTGTCAGCATATCACTGAGATTTGTCTTCATATCACTGAGATTTATCATCATATCACTGAGATTTGTCATCATATCACTGAGATTTGTCATCATATCACTGAGATTTGTCTTCATATCACTGAGATTTGTCATCATATCACTGAGATTTGTCATCATATCACTGAGATTTGTCTTCATATCACTGAGATTTGTCATCATATCACTGAGATTTGCCATCATATCACCGAGATTTGTCTTCATATGACGGAATTGCCCATCCTTTTTTAATACACGTCTTTTTGTTACCCCAGCTGTTCTGAGGGCATTAAACCTCTTTCAAATATTACATAATATAAGCTTTGACAATAGTATATCTAATGTACAGTATGCATACATTTAATTTCTTTCTTTCCAAAATCGATTGCCATGCATTGTAATGTTATAAAGGATCTCTGGCCCACTGTGGGATTGTTATCTAAACAATAAACTCAAATGTTTGTTATAAATGTATAACTTTTAGGCTATGACACCACCGTCGATAGGGACGCCCAGTCGCTAAGAGCGATAGTATAACAATCGGAAAACCAAGGCTTGAGTTCCAGACTAGCTACGCTGAAGTGTTACACCTATAACACTGTTATATTTTGTTGATTACATCTTCATTATTTGATCATGAACATTCCGCAAAGTACGTGTTCTTTCAAAAGCTATAGTATTGACGAGTCCAAAACAAATGCCGATGCGTATTTATTTTTTGCAGTGGTAAGACTACCCTTAAAATTGACGATTGACTGCTTTAATATATAGTGCAATCTTTCGAATAGAGTCACGGGGATAATTCATTCAAATGTTCGTATAGCAGAAATCTTCAAACAAGTGCTTTATGGTTTAAAAAGGAAAACAGTATTCAAAATTCACTAATTTCTACTAATTCTAATTTATAAGGATATTCTGGAAACCCTAGGAATGCTTAGTCTTTTACGTAAGCTGCTTGTTTGGTCATGAATACTTTTAGCTCTTTTTTACTTATATAAAAAGCTTTATCATTTAATTATCAAAAATGTATTTCACTCATAAAATGTATTTCAACTTCAGTAAAAATGACACAATGCATACGAAAGGTACTTGTATTGGTTCAAAGACACCTTCAGCGCAAGTTTGAAATTTTAATTTTGCTAATAGCTTGTGTACATATACTACAACACTATTTTTCAGTCAGTTGCAGTCCTATAGCGTCTGATAACTCTGGATATGATTTAGTCTATTGCCCTGTAAATATGCTTTATAAACATTGTATCTTTGTGTTTTTATCAATAAACAGTAAGAGTGAGTTGATGTGTTCCTCAATTGGTTAATGTTATTGATTAATTTCAGTCAACCGCTGATATCATTAAACACACCCATACACCTCAGAAGACAATGTTTATGAAATAAAATCTGAAGATAAGCCGCTCTTATATATTGCCCGTGTTTTAAAGACGAGTATACGCAATGGCTACTAGGCTCACTTGCAACGTCAGGCACGTGCAGTCCTCGCGAGGTCTAATGTGGATTTTCAACAATGATAGTAATGTTGTTTAAGGGCAATTACTCCTCTGTAGAGCTGTATGAACAATAACTTTAAAGGTTTGAAATACATCTTGTCAACATTTATTAAGGTATGCAACACAGTTCCGTTCAAACATATTCCATGAGGCGCGTTAGGAGAGCCTTTTTCGCGGGAAAGATGATGAGTTGTCAATGGTGACAAAATACACAGCTGAGCAAATAGTTACAATCTGCCTATTCTTATTTATTTAATTTATATTCCAGCATGTTTAACAAGCATTGGTTATCTTAACATTTGGCATTAGATCTTGATTTGAAACAAAATACCCTATTACATATTTTTGTTTCAAAAAGTCAGAAATTTATTCAGAGTTTGCGAAGATAGCTGCAGCGGCTAAGCTCATCAGGCCACTAAGCGGTTGGGATTTCAACGAGATGGGTTAATGGCAATTGAAAATGCCTCAGTGAAATGTGGAGTTTCCTAAAAAACAGATGGCGATTTAAAAGACACTGTTGACTTAAGTTTTGTGTCGATCGACTATGACAACATGATTAGGCCTAGCTCATCGTTGGAGCATTCGGCATGTGTTACTGTCGCTGAGGGGACTGGCCGATTCGACCTACTTTACCACTTGAATGGGCGCTAGTGTAGATACAGCGATTAATTCAGTTCAATGAAAAATGACCTGCCTTGATTCAAAACCACAGTCAGGGACACGCCCTTGACGTCAGTGTCAGAAAATGGCTGGAGCTAGCACACGACGGAATTTAATCGCTTAATACGAACACTTAAATGGATTTAAAAAGTGTAATTACTTGTTGATAATTTCAACAAATTAAAAAGATAATAAAAATATATTTAATTATTTTTTAAACAGTTGATAAGCAATCTCGTTTTTGTTTGTGTGTGTGTGTGTGTGTTGGGGGGGGGGGGGGGGGGGGGGGCTGTTCCTTACATAGTGAGTGCATATCACATCGCTAGGACAAGGAGAACATATGCATATCCCGAACGTGCCCTAAACGGGTTCAAAAACAGTGTCCAAGTGTGCGACGCATCGTATATCGGAGAAACTGGAAGGCGATTTTGGTCCGCCTTGGTGAACACCGGAAATATATGGAAACCCATAAAGGTAGGTAATTCTTCAGATCAGAAAGGAAGCAGTCGGAGCTATTGACTTGTTTTGAATTTGAAGTTTTGGGCAGAAAGAGCAATCTGTTCAAGCGGCGGAGAAAGGTAACCATCTGGATACGCGCGTTGGGTCAGTTCTGAATCGAGACGAGGGGGCTCAAAGACTCTCGCACATCTATGAACAAGTACTAAACAAAGCGTAGATGAATTGAGTCATTTCGGTACATGTATAACAACTATTGTGCATACGCTTACAGCGTCGCCGAATCGACATCGATTTTTGTGGACAACTCGTACACATTTTACACCTTTATGTGCATGGTCGTCTTGTCTCTAAAGGGCACTTTATTAACAAGTACAACTACGCCAAATTTACGCTGCCGCTACAAGGTTGGATATGACTTGCGCATAACAGTTGACAGAACATTACAGGTACATTAGCTCACGACATATATTACCTGTTACGTCCAGCATCTATTGCCACTTTGATATGCATGTTTGCCTTCCCACATAGCATAAGTGAAAACTAATTTTCAGCTACAAGTAGTCTTGAAGTGTTGTTACACGATATGTATAAAGAAATAACCCTTCATCGGATTCCATGCCTCTTCTCAATCCAGCCGTCTTACAAATGTGTGAGAATAGACTTATCAACTGCTTATATTGACCAGAATGAAACGCCAGTAACGATGGCAAGGAATGACAAAGAAACACAATTTATTATGAAGCTCTTGGTGAAAACGGATAAAATGGTTCGGCAAAGGAGCTTTGAGATCAAATCTTTTAATTTGCTTTCTGAATTGTAAACGTGCGACCATTTAATGATAATAATTGAGGATGCAGATAAGGGATTCTTTTAATTACGATAAGTGTCTGCCAGTGGAATGTTCCATTTGTTGTCAGCTCTTCAAAAAAGATAAGATCTGCCTTAACCTGGGTTATACAAAATCATTTTCAATCTCCGGAGACTGTTCCTGTGCTGGATTATCTTCTTGGTCCAGCCATCACCTACCAGTGCCGACTAGCTTGGGATAACCTTGAAAGCATGTGCCAGCAGATGGGGTCCCGTTTAAACATGGACAAATTGTAACACCTACCATTATTTTTATGATTACAGTTGGAAACACAGAAGGAAATTTTAGCACAATTACCAATTGATATGGTAAAAAAAATCGGTAACTTTGTTAGATTTCACACAAAGGCAAAACGTTACACTCAGCGAGCTTCAAATGGTCGTTTGAGATGTGCTTGTAAGATTGTTGTTCCGTGAAGAAACTGGCCTGGGACACTGATCAATTAAATAAGAGGGCTGATAAAGCCTCGCTATCATTTAAGGTTGATCAAAACAGCTTATCCTTATCTAGAGGTTTGTAAAATTTTATCGATCATTTTGACAACTCCATTATATTTTTACCAAATTCTATGTGATTTCAGAAAACTGAATATGTTTACAGATACAAAAGGACTATTGGAGCTACAAATGTATAATCATATATCAGTGGATCGTTAAATGGTGGCAAGAGGATATGAAATACTATCACATCAATATAAAGATGTTCTTTTCATCACGGTGGCGCTTGAAGTTAGGGAAATGCTTCTCCAAATTAATTCCGCTGTGTTCTTTTCGAACAACTCCAATCTGGTGTAAAATGTTGTCATGTGTCAGTCGTTAACATGATGCTATGCAAAACGATTATCAGGTAATAGTGAAGGTGTGTTACTTAGAAATACTTCAACCATTTCATCGTGGTCAAGATATATATTGTTCATCACCTAATGTACTGTGTTATCCAGTGAATATACCCATATCCATTTTTTGCGTGTTAAAAAGTAAAACTTCGATATCACATATTTCCAAACTGATGAATCTTATTGAAGATACTTGTTTATGCTTGTAAATGCATTAACTCGAATGAGCTGAATAGTCACACAACTGGGTGGAGGATGGCGTTAAAGTTACAAGTTCCTTAGCTTTGATCTGATGCAGAACTCCTTTCTCCACGTTGAGGTTTTTGCCTCTATCCTGCAACTTTTTATACGTGAAATATTGGATATTGCAAAATCACTTCATTTAATTCAGGTCAGTTTCTAGTAACATGAATTGTATATATTTTTCTATATTATGTCGGAATAAACGGTCTATTTCATATATCAGTTGTATTCCTGGCTGTTATTTGCCTATTGTATTACTTGGTATAGCTTGTTTCGCATACCATTAAACAATTTCCCGTTAATCATTAATCGCAATATGTATAAAGTGAATCGTACACATGTACAATTCATAATCTGGAAATGTCAATGGCATAACCACATCAGATAAGGCGAAAAAAATCTTCATATAACGATAAGAATGTAGCATATATTAACAAAAGATCGTCGTATAAGGATGATACAATTATAGTATTATGATTAAGACACAAAAACTCATTATGTGTTTTAATCATAATACTATAATTGTATTTGTGAAAAGAAACAATTTCACTCCTCCGTCGTCAACACACACTGGCCACATAGGGGATACACGGATATGGCAGCATATGACATACACAAAATTAACGATTGTCCCCTGTGTTGCGTTGGATGTAGAATATTAATGTCAATTACTTCTACAATCCCTTCATCAGGACAAAAAAAACCCGACTAACTGGAGGTCGATAGTGTGTAGCAACAGTGCATAGTTACATTGAACTAAATGCTTTAATCAAGTCACGTCTGACGCAATATCGGGGTTCAATAGAAATGAACAATGAACTATTGAAGATTTTTTGTTGAGCAAATAGAATGGATATAAATATAACTGGTTATCGATGTGACGATTGTCAGTTACGTTTCTGTGCATAAAGGATGTACATTTTACGTATTTAATTCGTTTGGTGTTACAACCAGTGTAGTCATGTCCTTTCTCTGATCAGAGCACTTCGTCCTATAACATAATGGTCAAACTGTATTTTGTTTCCCTGAACAAATATAAGAAAAATATAGGTTAAACTAATCAGGGATATATAATGAAAAAATGTTACCATCAAACAAATTAAATAGTCAACACGTAAAATTAAATAAAAATAAAAAAGGGATACAAGTATATTTTACAATGTTGTTCGGGAAGTTTTAGTACAGTATAACCAGGTAAAAAATGCGATAAACAATTTTATAGTCACCATTATTACCTTATTTGCAAATATAATACGTATTTTGCTATACATAGAATTTCTTTTTTTCTTTCATAACTTCTAACTTTTGGAATTGTGGTGAACAAAATTGGTAGATCATTTCATTCTATGAAGATTAAAAAATTTGAACAAAAAAGCAAATAGTATGTATACAGGAAAACTGCTGTATATACGGGTTGAAATGCACCTTTTTAACATTTATGAGGTTCCGTTCAATCATATTCCATGATGCGCGTTAGCGCATCTTGGAAAATATGTTCGAACGGAACTGTATTGCATATACCCTCATAAATGTAAAAACGATGCATTGCAAACCTTATATTTACATTCGATTACATCCACTTTTAGTATTTGAAATTTCGAAAAAAACATAATTTTTAATGTGATAAACATGTTTATCACATTAAAAAAAAAAAAAAATGATGAAAACAACATTTATTGAACAGCCTTTCTCGCGGAAAAGATGATGCGATGTC